TTACACAATATACCGCTGGTCGGACTTCTTTGGTGCTGGCTGATAGCTAAACAACGGTGACCACTCATGTTGTGACCCGGTTGTTTGGGGGGGGGGGGGGGAGGGGGGAGCAGGCGTGTGGCGCTGTTGGGGAAACACACACTAATCAATAAGGCCAAAGAACAGAGGGGCAGGAGTTTTTTTAACATGTGACACTTTCAAATCAGTGAGGGTTACAATTCTTTGTGTTCTTCACTTGAAAAAGAAAACAAAAATAAAATGCACACACATACACATACTACATTGCATACACACACTGCATACACACATGGCTGCACACTCATGTTGAGAATTCAATTCACTCATGCTTAAACACAACACACTGACAACAGCTGGAATTTTAAAATGTAAAAAAAGTTTTCCTTGATTGGAAGATAATGGTCCAGAAAAATATTTTTAAAAAGAACATCAAATAGCCCTGAGAAAACAGGGCACAGGTGTAGGACACAGGTGTAGGACACAGGTGTATGGCGTTTTTCTCACACTGGAATGCACAAGAAAAGAAACAACCAAATTTATAAAAGGAAACCAGCCCAAAACAGTGGGGGGGGGGGGGGGGAGAAATGTGGCAATTTTTTTCATACACAAAAAAACATTTTTCAGCCGGATACAAAATTATTCTTTTTAAACAGAAGGAGAGGAAATCTTCACAAGTTTCTAACATAAAATATAAAAAAATTGGTCCACTTCAAATAATGGGGTGAAAGTAAAATCCACATATGTGAAACGTGCAGATAAAATAAGTTACTTCTTGGATTCGAGCCCTATGCTAAATAGAAACATCACACTTATAAGTTTTTAAAAATCAATAAGTATGAAATAATAACAGGCATATTACACTTAAAGAATATAGCATCAATGGAAATTCTACAAATTTGACCCGAGTGTTAATTTTTTGGCCAATATCTCCATTTGTGGATTGCGAGAAGTAACTCATTTTGTCAGCACGGCTCACATATAATATACAGTGAGTTTTCTTTTCAGTGAGGCCAATGAAGTATATATTTGCACAACTACATTGCTGCATTTCTAAGTTTGGCATTGTTTGTTTCAGAAATATCATCTTAATCTAAATGCTGACAAAAATATAAAACTACAAAAACCAAAACCATAAAATCTTTTCCATTACACGATCTTCCTTCACCTTACAATCCACCAAAATTCCACACGCCGATAAACTGGGAAAATATTTATATAGGCAAAAAATTGGGTCAATCTATGCTTTTCACTAAACCAAGGGCTGAAGCCAAAAGCAAAGGAACACCCCCATGCTGGTAGTCTATTTTCTGTTGGCATTATAGTACTTTATAGTACATTATAGTACTTTATAGTACATTATAGTACTTTATAGTACATTATAGTACTTTATAGTACTTTATAGTACATTATAGTACTTTATAGTACATTATAGTACTTTACAGCACAGACTGCAGCAACAGCAGGAGAAAAGACACACAGACAGGAACACCTCACAAAAAGTCCTGTTTTTGGACTTTGTTAATGCTTTACGGTACACACGCTTAATGGTGCCAAACATTTTTCCGCAGTCGCTCAATTTATTGGACAATTATTTCATGGATAGGTACAATTTTCTAGATATCTGTGCTACACGTAACTAAAGACAAAAATCAGAGTTGGGAGAGAAAAAAAGAAGAAAAAAAAAGCCAAAAGAAGCCACAACTATTGTTGACTGAATTCATGACACAGAAGCTACGAAATCCCCAAAAACTTGCACACAACCTAGATCTAGTTCCCCAACAACCTGAACCTGTCTCTGTTTCTTATCTCTTACGTCGTCCAACGCGAGACACAAAACATCTGTACCTCTGGAATGTCTGGGCGGGGTTAAAAAAAACAAAACAACAAAAAAAAACCCCAGGGACAGAACGGCGGTGAGAATGTGGACAACACGTACTGTAAGTAACCGATCGTGAGGCCACTAGCATCCCACACAAAAGCTGCTGCAGAACCAGATAAGGCTGGAGGAAATACACAAGTCAGCAGCTGCCCAAGAACAAAATCTCTCTGTGTTGGAGGGAGGAAGGGAGGTGAAGACAGGGCTCCAGTCAATGGGAAATCTCATCAAGAACAAACTACGGCACAACCCGGCCCTGCCCACCAGTCATATAGTACATCTCTCTGTGTTGGAGGGAGGGAGGGAGGGAGGTGAAGACAGGGCTCCAGTCAATGGGAAATCTCATCAAGAACAAACTACGGCACAACCCGGCCCTGCCCACCAGTCATATAGTACATCTCTCTGTGTTGGAGGGAGGAAGGGAGGTGAAGACAGGGCTCCAGTCAATGGGAAATCTCATCAAGAACAAACTACGGCACAACCCGGCCCTGCCCACCAGTCATATAGAAACAACATAGGAACCACACAGACAATCCTTCACTTCTTCTATTTGTACAGTAATGTAAAATGAAATAAATCAAGGGGGGAGAGGGGGGGGGGAGAATGTGCTAAATCAAAACATATCCTTCATTACCAAGACAGAGAGTGAAAAGAAAAGAAAACCAAGAAAGTACGACTTCCTTCAGATCAAGAGAAACAGTTTCCAAAAGCCACACAATTGTAGTTAAAGATCACTTGGGCAGAAATGTGAGCTTCCAACGACCTCCTGACGAGAGAAACTTCGAACAGCGACAAGCCTCAACGGTGCAGTAGTAGGTCGGGTGGGGGACTCTCTATTGTTTCTCCATAATGTCAGACCCGTCTATACAATTCAGATCATTTAAGAAGTGGGCTGCGACCAATCTGCCTGAAGAGGGCCTTAGACCAAGGCTGCGGGAATCAGCACATGGAGGCAACAACAAGGTGGAAGATCATCCATCAAAAACATCTTCCCCACATGGGGAATCAAACTCGCATTCTTGGGAGCAAAAACAGGAGGCTAGCAATTACACCGCAGACGCCAGTCCATTAGAGCCGAGAACCATTTGAGAAATAGACTGACAAAATAAGAGCCAAATGGGTCAAATTATAAGGAAATATCGCACCTCTCAACCAAACACCTGCCCACCCATCCAGCAAACAAAAAAAATCCAACTTGGCTAAGATTGCTGCCAGCAGCATATGCAAAAGGCTCACAATATTAACAGATAAAAATCAGCAACAACAATCAATATTCATTTCTTCACTGGCAACTACCAACTCAGCATAAACACAGCTCTCTCTCTCTCTCTATCTATATCTCTTCTCTCTCAATCACTCTGCATTTGAAAGAATAACGTATACCTCTATTTCTCTTGTCAACCTCTCATATTGCATATATAAGTAAGGGTGTGTAGGAAAATTCCACAGAATCAATCAGAGGTCAAAGGGGAGAGTGAGGGGAGGAAACTAGGTTGGGGAGGGGAAAAAAACTACAAGAAAACCTCAATACATTCAAGAGCAACAAAAGGAGCGCTGAAAATATTCCCAGAACAATTTTTTAAAAACAAAACCCAATTTGGTGAACGGAATAAAACCCCGATCATCGTCATCAAACCCCATGAAGAATGCATATTTCATGTACAACAAGGTGGGTACAATATAATTTGAACACAAAAATGAAACTGGTTGTCTGAACATTTTCCTGCGTTAAATATATCTATACATACTTCTGTAATATTTGACCAAAAACAAAAAAAAAAGGTGAAAAATTGGCTTGGCGTTATCATATAACATATGTTGGTTGGACAGAGTGTCAGATATGATGTCGTGCTAAAACTAATAAAGGTAGAAAATATTGCCATGAGCATAGTATATGTATGTGTGTGTATAATATATATATTTATATATATATATATATATAAAATGTTACAATGACAAACAACTGAACCGGTGGCCGGTACACTGTGAATCTTACTTCTTTCTGCCACTGCTTTCCTTGTAGTGACCCCGCCCTAAGCTACCAACCGTTACGTCCAGAACAAAACAGAAATCACAGCAACGCCATCTCCCACAACAAAAGCCCACTACATTGCCCGCAAAACAGAAGCATGGAAAGGAAATATTTTTAAAAAATTATCAACAAAAAAAAATAAAAAAATCCATCACAAAATATTACATGAACTGAGAAAGCACTTTACATGACGATATGAGTTCAGGTTCTGAACTGATGCACACATATAGATAGACACGCACACATCACCCACTCTTCTTCTTGTGGCAGGAAAACCTCACAGATTTCCTTCATAGAGACAATGCAGTTTGGACTTTGTTCCTCACCCCCACCCCACCCCTCCCCCTAACCACATACCCTCATCCCCCCCCTCCCCCTAACCACATACCCTCCTCTGCATCACTAAACCGTGTTGCTTGCAGAATGCTACTGTAAAAATTTACAAAACCCAAAAACGGAACTGTCCCCCTCTAAACCTGAACTCTATGAACAAACCAGGAACGAGTTCAAGGATTCCACTTAGCAAAAGACGAGAGCCGCGTCTGAGGAGATCAAGGCGAGAGAACGTGGAACAAAAAGTAGGTCACACCAGGCACGGATACCCACTTCAAATAGAAAAAATGTCAACCAAATGTGCAGCCTCTAGAATTGCATAGCTATGAACTGAACCCACAAGCTAACTAGTACCTTGTACATCAAACCACAAACACAACGGCTTTTGTTGAGCTGCGAGGAAACAAGAGAAGATTCCGTGATCACCACGGCAGATTGTTTTGACCCCTTCATGATCTACCGGTACATGACAAGCTGTTGTTGTTATCGATCCAGCAACAGTACATGACAAGCACTGCTCCTCATTTTCGCCTTGAGTGGCCAAGGAGGCAAGAGGCTGTCAGGACAAACTGTGCTCATCACGCCTTGTCAAATGCCATGACCATAACCACAAGGTTTCTAGTAGAAGTCCTTCGTAACATTAGTTATGGATTCAAATTCAGCGATACTTTTTCACGAAATAATATACTCTGTTTTCAGAGATAGTTTATCGTATTTACAAACTGGATCTGATTCATAGGCAATCGATCGCTATATCAAAAGCCACCTTTTGACTGCGGGGATCCAAAGTCGTGCTCAGTGAAGCACTCACAGACTCTGCATCACGAAGGGGTTAGATAGAACCAAGAGGTGTGCCCCACTGATGTTGTCGACTCACACATACAGTACTGTTTAGTATGACTCGCACATACAGTACTGTTTAGTACGACTCACACATACAGTACTGTTTAGTACGACTCACACATACAGTACTGTTTAGTACCACTCACACATACAGTACAACAGACCCCAGCAATCACACGCGTCTTTAGCATTGATGAATACATTTTGAGATAATTCTTAAAAACGTGTGTCTCTACGTTTGTTTTCTGCATAAAGAATGATAAGATGTAACTCTGAGTACAACCTGAGGTCTTTGAAAGACGCAACTGTCAGCATACTTAGGAAGGGATTACCGGCGTATATCCTTTTCCTCATCCCGGGGGAAATGGTAATAGATGTAGAACACAATGACATGTTGGTCACATGACCACTGGTCCCAGCACATGACCCTGGGTCAGTCGGCGCTCCGGTACATGAGGGTACGCTCAGCACTAGCCGCAATCTCACTCTATCTACCTCGGAACTTTTCACATTCCAATAATATGACCGGAACTTACGTAAGATTACAATAATTCTACAAACTAATCATGCTCAAATAAACCAGATATCAATTCTCCAATTTGATGAGTTGACCAGTTTTCTATGGAGAGGTACGTGTATACTTGACAACTATATAGACCAATGCGCTGTTGGATCTTGAGACACTGATCAATAAATACAAAAAGAATACAAATATTGTACGTGAACATGACACCATCATACTGAGTAAGTACGTGGTAACTGTCATTTCATTTGAGTAAGGTAACTTGAAAGAAAAAGTATATTATATTTACACCATACAGCATTACAAGAAATCTGGGTTTTCAACATGTTAAAAAACATTTTTTTGAATCTCTCGGTAACTTATGTGTATAAAATTCTCTGTGAGACTTGAGATTACAGAAGTCATAAGACTTGGAACAGTTCTTCAGTTACATGCCTTACCTTGTCAAAAAAAAAAAAAAATCTTTGCACACGACAAAATTATTGATGAATAAGACGAGATTTCAGACATTTTTCAGACTGCTTCCAGTCCGGTCTGCCATACTTCCCAACGAGGAAACATTCTCCAAGACACACACAATACCGCGGTAAGAAATGACACAGCAAACACTCAACCAGCGAGACCCAACAGCCATCAATGATCACATCCTTCAAACATCTAAACAAAGCATCAGCATCATTATTATAAAAAACGAAAAAGAAATGAATTAAAAGGAGCAAAAACAATAATTTATAAAAAGCGATTCCAATGAACGTAATATATGGAAGTCCACTGTAGTTAACACTTGAGAGTAGTAAGTATGGTGCCCTGTTTGTTCAACATTTCTCTTTTTTCAATGTGTATTTTACCCACACACACAAGACTCAAATAAGATAGGTTTCCGCAACCATCAACACAAGCTCAGACAGCTCTGCCTGCTCACGTCTGTGACCTGTCCGCCAAGCCCCGCCCACTCTGATCCTCGCCCACCACCTCGGCTCACAGCGGCTCCGATAAAAACAGCGTTGAGTTTTCTTTCAGGAGGGTGGGGGGGCGGACGTCATTTCACGCTCCTCACCCCTCATCCCATCAACATCAGCACAAAAAAAGAAGAAAAAAAAAAAAGCAGCAATTTCCAACTGGCCGACGTGACCTCGGGGACAACTAGAGGTATTCCCACCCAACACACACACACGGGTCCCACGTCCTCTCAAAACAGCAGGTCCGACGAGTTGTTCGTTGACCACGTGTCCAGCTCCTGCTCGTCGGCCGGCCTCAGCGTCATCGAGTCCGGATCGTCAACGGGTTCCGATTTGGCGACCTTGGGAGGGGGCTCGGGCTCCGTGAGGCTGGAGCCAAACACAAACTCTTCTTGGAAGCGGCCGCGGTAAGAGTGTAGGGAGCCTGAAGAGCAAAACACAGCAGCACCGAGTCAACAATAATATTAAATGACATGTATATAATTATATAGCGCTCAACCCCCGATTAAAGTACACGGGCTCTGAGCGCTTTACAATACAATACAATGTACAACTTCAGCTGACACTTGAAAGAATCAAAAGGTTTGACCTCTCTTAAAGTACTTGGCAAAGCAGTCCAGATCGTGGGGCCCTGATATTCAAACGCCCTTTCACCCATTGTGTTCAGTTTCATAGAGGGTAAAGGAAATTTCTTTTTCTTCAGCTGTTGACCTTAAACTGCGAGTAGGAATGTACAGTCTTTGTATTAGTAAGTGTTTTACGGCATTTGCAACACAATAAGGTTATAAAAGTGCCGAAGATTAGAGGTGTTACAAGAGAGTAACAAACATAAAAAAGAAGGAGGAGAGAAAAAGACGATAGATGTTTGACAGGAAAGAAGAAGCAAACCACACCAGAGCACCCGCCAACCACCCACATATACAGTCTCCACAGATTTGATAAATAAGATGGCACATTATCATTCAAGCATTTGTGACATAGGGCAGCACCACAGTGGCACACTCTACACAGTCCACCGTCGCAACGGTCAGAAGAGTCTCGGTACACAAAAGCACATCGACAAAATCATGGTCAGTTTAGTTTTAGTAAGAGTTTCGCGGCACAATAAGGTCATATAAGTGCCGAAGATTAGAGGTGTTACAAGAGAGTAACAAATGCAAAAAAGAAGCAGGAGAGATCAGGACGATAGACGTTTGATAGGAAAGAAGGAGCAAACCACACCAGAGCACCCGTCAACCACCCAAATCATGGTTATTTCACACAGGGAAAAAGTGAGGTGGACAGACAGAAAAAAAAAGGGGGGGCCTATCAGTGGTACCCTCCAACCACCTGCTCCATTCATCGGAGCAAACCGGAAAAGAAAGAGAATACTAGTTTTAAATACCTGACACAAAAGAATAATATGCCCATTTTGCCAGTCCCACCCCACTTAAACGATGGTGATTTCCCCACTGTTTCCCTATTTGTGTCCAGCAGTGAGATCCTGGGTATGCGTTCCTCTTCCTTTGTCCAACCACAAAGCAGCCCGCTTTTACGTTAGAGTTAGCAGCAGTCGTAAACTGCCCTCCTTGTCCTGATGTGACTACCAAAGTGTATGTATCTCGCAAACGTCATTGTTGATAACTATAATTGTTCATCTACATCATCATATGTGACTGTGGGTCTGTTTGTAAATGAAAACACATTTGTTTGTACGTCCATATGTGAGTAAAAGAGAAAATGTGAGAGAAAGTATGTGGGTATGGGTGTGAATCAATGCGTGCTCTACAGTGTGTTTGTGTGAGTGTGAATGTGTGCATGTGTGTGTTGAGTGTAGTGAAACACCGAACCAGTGCTCCAGTGTCGTGACAAAAAAGAGGTATCTATAAATCTTAAACATTGCTCTGTGTTTAATGAAGACCACAGCAAAAAGAAACTTCACCAACAGTCCCTTACTTGAACTAGAGAGAGCCGTGTTTGACTTCAGCAAATCGTCATCAGCGTTCCCGCGGGGGGTCACCGGTGTCTCGATGATATCCACAGTGTCTGTGTCGTCCGAAGACTCGCCAACATCACCGCCGCCGCCCCCAAAGTCTTCCAAAAATAGAATGTCGGCCGTGTCGTGCGGGTGCTCCTCCAGGTAAAGCTCCAGAGCGTGGTCCTCTGACGGGTACTCAAACGTCTCCGTGACTGAGTCGTTGAAGTGGATGTTGATCTGGTGGAAAAAAGGAGAAAATTTTTTTAATTCAATGCAAGATATGAATACCCAACCGAAACTTGATAATAAATAATGTTTTAAAAAATCAGTCTCATTACTATTTCTAATACTTCTTCTTTCAGTTTTAGTAAGAGTTTTACGGCACTTGAAACACAATAAGGTTGTTATATTATTATAAGTGCCGAAGATTAGAGGTGTTACAAGAGAGTAACAAGCACAAAAAAAGAAGGAGGGGAGATCAGAACGATAGATGTTTGATGGGAAAAAAGAAGCAAACCACACCAGAGCACCCGACAACCACCCACTACAACTACTACTTCTGATATTAAGTAAAAAGACAACACAGGTGAAATTGTCCAACACTGCCATGTATTGTCAGGGAGAAAAGTGGTTGTCTTAGATAAAGACAGGTGGACATTAAAAAACAAAAAAGGTGGGTGTCTTGGACAGGGTTACCATGAAAAAAAAAACCCAAGGGGGAAATGAGAAGTGGTCATTTATATACAGACGGGAGATTGTGGTGATTGTCTTGGACAGAGATGGCCAGTAGAGCAAGGTTTGACTGAGAGCTCTCCGAGTACTGCCAGAACCCTTTACTCTCTTATCAACAGCGCTGCAGACAGAAGGCTATAATCAACTCTTCGCTCGGTCCCTGGTGTAGTGTATGCGTATACAACATACCAACATCAGACCCCCAAACCCACGGCCACGGCTTTAGGGTTACTGTCGTTCACACTCGAGCAGGAAGTGTATTCACCAGCAGCAAAAGCCAAGCCAAGCCACAATGTGGACAAATTGATAAAATCATGCAGAGAGAACGGGTCGGGTCGGGGGGAGACACTTGTGAACTGATATATATTATCTGACATACAATTGAATAAGAACGGTACAGCGAGACAAATGAGAGAAAGCTAGCACTCTCATAGGGGTGACTCCCATCCTATACAACAACATAAAACGACCAATCCTATGAAATAAACACCATACTGACAAAGATGCTTTGCTACTATTAGAAACCAGATAACTGCAGTTTTGCTGTAACAGTACCTGATCTTTATCAAGTTTTTAGCTTTCGCCACATGACAGGGTCATATTACATTATAAAAGAGAGAGAGAGAGAGAGAGAGAGAGAGAGAGAGAGAGAGAGAGAGAGAGAGAGACAGAGACAGAGACAGAGACAGAGAGAGAGAGAGAGAGAGAGAGAGAGAGGCAGAGACAGAGCGAGACTAGACTAGTGAGAGAGAGAGAGAGAGAGAGAGAGAGAGAGAGAGAGAGAGAGAGAGAGAGAGAGGCAGAGACAGAGCGAGACTAGACTAGTGAGAGAGAGAGAGAGAGAGAGAGAGAGAGAGAGAGAGAGAGAGAGAGAGAGAGAGAGAGAGAGAGAGAGAGAGAGAGAGAGAGAGAGGATTACTATAGAGGAGCTGTGCGCTTCATATGTTCTTTGTATTATTGTACAGCGCATTGAGCACTTCTTTGTGAAAATGCGCTATATAAATGCATTTTATTATTATTTATTATTATTATTTATAAAAGTGCCGAAGATTAGAGGTGTCACTTGACAGTAACATTATGCAAGGAAAATAAGCAGGAGAGACTTTTAAATTTTATTTAAAGACAGCGTTTCACAGCACTTGCAACACAATAAGGTCATATAAGTGCTGAAGATTAGAGGTGTTACAAGCGAGTAAAAAACACAAAAAGAAGGAGGAGAGATCTGGACGAAAGATGTTTGACAAGAAAGAAGGAGCAAACCACACAGGAGCACCCCCCAACCACCCACCCGGAGAGATTAGGACAAAACGTGTTTGAAGAAAGAGGGAGCAATCACCACAAGCCTCCCCCCCCCCTCCCCATGATCTACTATTTATTAACCATGGAAGGTAGAATGGGAGGAAGAAAAGAAAAGTAAGCAACAGTATCCACACACAAGCTCGTAACATCACAGACTGTAACTTGGGGAACAGAAAGAGTTGCACAGTCTGAGTCATGTTCTCAGGAGCGTATTGCTGCTACTACCGCAGTTCAAAATTGATTTAGAGATGGGAAAATCACAGCGGGCAGCACATCCTTACTTGGAAATGAAGCTTTTAAATGCTCAAATGTAGCAAACTCTTCTTTGTCAGAATTGGTCTCGTTGGCCATAGAAGAAGCCACAAGCAAGTCATTTTAATAATTCTTCTTTCCCTTTATATTCTCTAAAAGAAATATATTCTCCTCTTTAGAGATATGGTCATAAACATCATAAATTATATAATGGGCCTACTGACGGAAGAGCTTCTTATATCATATATATGTAAATATTATTTAGTACACACACAACGTTTTTGTAGCAGTTTTTTGGGGGGTTTTATGGGAAAGGGCTGCTAACCCTTTGCCCAACCGATAGTCATTTACTACGACATGCGTGGTACGGACACAGTGGTCCTATTCTTTGCTCCCCTGTCTCTTGGACAGGGCCCCGGGAACCACATACTATTTAATATAAGAGGGGAGAAATCTGAACACAAAAACTAACCAGCAGAAATGTAGTAGTTATACAACAAGCTTTGATCACATTACATTTATTGTCTTTTAGTTTTAATAAGAGTTTTACGACTTTACGGCACTTGCAGTTTACACTAAGGTCATATAATATGTGCCGAAGAAAAGATTATGTGTTACAAGAGAGTAACAGAAACAAAAAAGGAGGAGGAAAGATAAGGACGACAGATGTTTGATAGGAGGAAAGAAGGAGCAAACCATACCAGAGCACCTGCCAACCACCCACATTTATTTATATATTGTTTTATATTTATGACAAAGGAGGAGATAGAACTTCTGTAACAATGACGAAGCACACTGGAACCTATCATGTCTTAGTTGTGTACATTTCAAAAGGTGCATCGAGTCAGTAAAATAGTTTATCAAATATACAACATCAACAGATTAATAGAAGAGGGACTCAGACATTAGAAGAGGGACTCAGACATTACACAAACAGATTATTGTAGAAAAATTGCAAACTCAACCTGAGAAAGTTGACTTCGTAAAATTGCCAAGAAGAAAGCCCTAGGTTATTTTTTTCCTCTTTTGTTTTGTTTGCAACTATTGTAACAATTTATAGCAACAAAAAATCTTCGTTACATTAACCCACAAAGCCTTGGTAAGTTAAAATAAACAGACTGGAAATTATAATTATAAAAACAGACAAACAAACAAAAGCTACAATGGTGACAATTTTTTAAGAAACCGAGTTTTACATGGAAACACAACAACACAAATTTATACTGTGAGATGGTGTAGATAATAGCGGAGAAATAGGAAAAAGATAGGATAATGTGGAAACAAAAACGACACCCAATGACTCCCCCGCTAGAACCAGAACCAGAAACAAATAAAACATTGAGCAAAAGTCCGAAAACAAACAAGCAACAAAACACATACACATGAATGTACAAAGAGCGGAGAGGAGAAAAGATGGATTTTTTTTTTTTTTTACAAAAGGCCAAAGCATTTATAAACAAAGCCCTTGCCTTCCTCAGTCAGACAACATGTCATTGAAAGATTAAATGTAACAAGGAAGTAACATGTAGCCACTGATAACATTCTCAGTACCAGCTCATTATGTGGCCTTTTTTCCCACCCCCCGAAGTACACTGCCTTGATAAGACAGTGTCCCCCCCCCCGAAGTACACTGCCTTGATAAGACAGTGCCCCCCCCCCCCACCCACCCTTCCCAGTAAATTTTCAGCCCAACTTCACTTTCCCATGGCCCATTACACATATATATATGTGTGCAACGGCTCTGTTTGATAAAACTTACAACTAACTGTGACTTGAACATGATTCAAGAGATATAATTCTCATTTTAAAAAATGATACCTTTCAGGTTTGACACAATTATAAAATGGCGGCAAGATTCAAAAGCAGATGGGGAGGGGGGAAGGAGGGGAGACATCCACTGTGCTGTTAAAATGATTTTTTACCATTACGCATTATAACATGATGGCCATGTAGCAATTCTGACTCCAGTCTTCAAAAACATAGAGAAGGTTGCTTCATCCTGACATAGTTAAGAGGAAAAAGGGAATGAAGAAGACTTATAATTAGTGAGCAACACCATACAGAAAAGGGAAAACCAGAGACACTCTCTGCACTGCAAGGATCAAGCTGTTAACTATAAATAATGTCATGTAAACTGCGACTGATTCATACAACAGTGAGCGTAAGTTAATCCATACCTTCACTTTTCTCTGTTTCTTGAGGAGGGAGCGTGATGTCTTGGCATTTTCTCCAACAAACACTATGTTGCAAGGCTTGATTTCTCTTGGCTTCGGTTGATAATCTCTGTTTTTGTCATCCGTGATGCTAGAAAGGTCCAAAGGAGGTACTAATCCCTGAGATTGAGCATTGAAAGTTGCACGTTGCCTCTGGTTCTCTTTGCGTTTCTTTGCCAGTTGACTACTGTCAAAAATCTGGGCAACACCAGTCGCCTTGGAACGATTTCCCTCCATCCGCTTGCGAACGGCAGCAATCTCATTTTCGATGGAATTGCTGATTTCGTCTTTATTATCATCTTTACTTTGCACAGATGGGGTACTCGAAAGATTAACTCTCGGAGAAAAGGTTTCACTACTTGTACTGGAGTCAGTCTCACCAGAGTCGGACTTCAACTGTCTGTCTATTAACGACGACGGTCGCGTCAAACTGCTAGCCTGGCTCGGGTCATTCTTCTCCTTTTTCAGTCTCTGGGCGATAATGCTGGGGATGCCTTTGATAGGCTCAGAGTCACTCTTAGTCTTGTCGGGTTTTGTTCTCGGAGTTTCAGGAGGGGTTGCATCACTTTCACTCGCGTCAGAGCTGCTACTTACGTAAAGCATTTTTGAAGGCTGCTTTGGCTCAGGTTTCGGTTCACTGGAGCTCACTGCTGTTGAGGCTGTCTTTACTGGCAAAGGCTTAGACAGTTTGTCCAAAGCTTTCCTATCTTCCTGGATATGATTCTTTGGGGGGACCTCAAAACTTCTCCTAGCAGGGGCAGTTGGAGTTTTCCGCTCCAATGTAATATCTTTCTTTTCAAGTACAGGAACTGGTGCCTTCGATTTTTTCATCTCTAAATCATTTAACTTATTCACAGAGACATTCTCTGTGCTCTTTCTAGAGTTAAGTGGCTTCTCTTTTGACACATTTTTATTTTCCCGAGGTATATCAGGTATTGGGCCTTTCCCTGAACTCTTCACATTTACGGACGTAACTGAAACTTTTTTGCCCCCTGTGAACACTTCCTTTTTGCTAATTTCATTATCAAGAGGGGTGTAGTCCTTTGTTCGCGGAGACCGCTTCTTTGTGGGACTGATCTTCGATTTGTCGAAAATCATCACCGGTGTTCCGTCGTCTTTCTTATCATCCTGCTTGTTCTTGAAAGGCGCCACAGGAACAACGGGGCTTGACTTTTTATAGCTGGTCGCAGCTGACGCTGGGGCAGGATAGGGCACGGGAACTGGTTTTAAATCATGAGCATTTGTTTTGCTGGCTATAGTCGGCTTGACACTGGCAGTGTTGCGGGGCGTGGGGCTAGGTCGAAATGGGCTTGCTGTTTTCTCATCATCTCCGGTGGTGCTGTGCGTTGTGTCAGGTCTCGGAGAGGTCACTTCCTGCGGGGATGCTGACCTTTGTCTAAATGCAATGCTGTTTGTTGTGACAGAAGAGCTAGACTTATTCTCATCATGTTTCGATTGGAATGATGGTTGTGACAATTCACTGGAGCGAGGAGAAAATATAGGAGGACTTGTTGCAGTATTTGAAGGTGAAATGAATGGAACGGAATTGGCTTGAGTATCATTGTTGACAAATCTAGGAGAAGTAACAGATACCAACTTGTTGCTCTCATCTCCCGAGGAAGGAGAGGTAACTGAGCCAGTTTGTGAAAAATCTCCCGACCTACCAATGTGTTTCAGTGGCTCCGGTTTAGGTCTTCTAAAGACACTGGTGCCTGAAGTAACAGAAGCTGTCTCAAACAAGCTACGGACATTAACAACAGTGTTGGGTTTTGGAAGTTCATCAGGAACACTTTCTTCTCGATAACTCAACAGCCTCGGAGTACCATTGTCACTGTCGCTTTCATCGTTACTCTCATCTTTTTTTGCAACAACAGACGGAGTTGTTTCAATAATGATGATATCATCTCGGGCAAGGTCAACATCGGGAGCAACAACGTGAGAGTCTCTGGGAGATTTGGGAATGACCGCGTCTTTTCCTTTATCCCACTTTTTTGTTTCTACATGGCGAAGCGGAATGGCAAGATTGTGGTGATGGCTACTTTTGCGGTGAGCATGTGGTAAACTTTCTATGCTTCGAGCCCTGTGAGATGTCTTTGAAACTGAAGAAAGGGGTTTTCCAATTCCAGATTTTACATCTAGGCTGGCAGGATCTTTGAAGGTAACATTTTTGCTCTTAACACTGTTACTTCCAGTGAGATCTTCTAAACTTGATGAGCGTTTTACATGAGACGAAGAAAACGCTGTGTCTTCCTTCGCACTGAGAGATGAAAATTTGTCCAGAAGTTTGTGAACAAAGCCTGAACCCGGGCGATACTCCCCGATATCTTCTGACTCATCATTTCGAGACGTACTGTCAATCACACCCGAGAGTCGTCTTCTATCCAGAACATCTGATTGAAGACTATCTTTCTGGTATGAAGGCACATTATGCTTTCTTCCAAAATTCTTATAGAAAGGGTTTTCTAAAACTGACGAAAGCTTTTCTGTGGTGGCTCTTCCATTCTGTTGAGAATAGCTTGGTGGGACAGCAGTGCCCATCCCTGCGAATTCAGATGAACTCATTTTGTATGAGAAGAGGTGTGTTTGAAAAGCAACAGAACCAAGAAGTCACCTCCTAAATTATAGGCCAAGATCCTGAGAATCTGGGCTTTAAAAATGACTCACACTCAACTAGCCTACTTGTCACTAAAAAAAAAATTTATATATGTACAAGGCGGCACTTTACACAGGATCTAGACTAGTTGGGCCTATAGGGCACAGCCCACTAAAGACCTACATTAAATCTTGATTTGGGGCCGTAATATAGTTGACACATAATTAATAAAGAATCATTTATACGTCTCTATTTATGTCACTGTCTGACTTTCAGGCATAGCCGATTCTTGTTCTCATGAATAGTAATCCCACCGAAAAGTAGTACTGGCATTTCGATTAAACACTTGTTTCCTCATACAGGCCTTTTATACAAATAAGGCTACATTCTTTCGAATGTTGTGAACACGAAATGACAGTGACAGTCACGCACACAATTTCCAATGTCCAAAGGAATGTGATCACATCTAGGTGGGATAAGATTCAATATCTTAGTTCCCGTCGTAACATATACGTAACTACAACCGTAAGAAGAGTAATATTCAATGTAGGACCATGACAGCTTGGTCCTATCCTATATTTCTGCCGGAACAAACTCCCACTTCCCCCATACCGTGGGGTTGACAGTCAACTTGCCATGATACGTCATAGTAGCAGTGGCTGCGAGCCGGAAGACCACAAGGTGAAGGTTGATCAATGGCCCTCATTCATGCCTGCTCAAAACCGTCAATCAAGATAGAGCGAACCCAATCCTCGAAATGAAACAACGTCATGGGAAAGTTTGAATTTTTCAAAATAAATCTTGTCCAACACTTTACATAGATTCCATTATAGAAAACACTTGAACTTGGTCTTTTCCCAGCTACATTGTGTTTATGTTCTACTGACCTATAACCTTTCAGCCTCATGACCTAAATGATTCATTTTAACCCCGCCCATTTAGTAAGAATTATGAATAAAATATGAAATATTGTTTGTAAGATATCAACTTTAGAATGAAATCCATTATTTTGGTATGGCTTAATATTTGAAGTACAAAACTAGCCTAATCCTTTCCCCATTGGTTTTCAAGTGCGAGACTGTTTGCGGAAGTGAAGTAAGCCCGATCTGTATCCCTAGGCAACAACACTCCTCGATAGGCACTGCTGCTGGGCCTCTATAATTGAGGGTTTGAACGAAGACTTTCAGGCACAGCCGAGTCCTTGTTTTTCTAACAAATCCACAAATAAACGAACATTTCAAAATTTCAGGATGGCCACAATCGTTAAAGCTCCGCCTGCAACTATCGGACCAGAATGTTGGAGGAACAGGACGCTGAGAGGTTTGAAGTTGGGACAAACAGTTGTAGAGAACAGTGACAGGAACTGTGACATTGGCAGATCTACTGACACCTTGCCGCACATCAGGGATGTTCTTGCTACCCTCAGCAATGACGAAATTAGAAAGTACATGCGAGAGGTTAGGGTAGTAGTTGCTAAACTAAGAGAAAGTCTTTTGGAGACCAATGAAGAAATCAAGGCTCTAACGAGAGGTAAGGAGGCACTGGAGCGGTCTCTTGAACACACGCGCAAAGACATTCAATTGAACAAAGATTCAAAGCAAGTACGCGTCACCCGACCTCCAACGGAGAAGGTAAGAAATTAGTCTTTTACTGGAATTATATTTGATGAATCTCATTATGTAAGCCTGCAGTGAATTTGATTCTTGTTGTTCTTATCATTTTGATTTGATATTGTTATTGTTGTGGAAACTTGTGGAATACATTTTGTATGATCCACCTTGTATTGAAAGTAAATAATAGGTTTAAATCTCCTTTGTAACATGTTTGATTTTCCAGTGTTCTGTATGGTTATGTTCCTTTTCCCAGACAGTTTGGATGTTCTTTATGATATGATTGCTTTTAATAAGCACAAGCGGGACTATCCTGAAAAATACTGTTTTGAGAAAATCGAAGGTAAAGTAAACTATTATATCACTAGTACTTGCTGAAGAAAGGGGGATGGAAGACGGCAAGGAGTGCAATTGTTTACCCTTGTCACAGCCCTTTTATTCAAGAAAAGTCGTGTACGTATGTGACAGTATGAAAAGGAAGGGGACAATGAGACAATAGCTACTGTGGAATGGTGCACCTTCACAGCAAACACATTATCTGAAAAAAGGTTTCTATTCTTTTAAAGTTTGATTCGTCTGGTCCTGAAGTTTTCAATGATTGCGGTTACTCTTTGTTCTACTCTGTTCTTCTTTTGGATAAACGACCTCCTAATTACAACGTTGCTGGAAACTGTTTTTTGATAAAGAGATTCTGATTGATTGAAAAACTGGTACAGGAGAAATTGTCCAAGGCAGCCACTCACTGTGGAGAAGAAAAGTGGTTGTCTTAGACAGGTGGACATTTTGGGACTTGTCATTATGATGTAGAAAAAATGCAAGGAGTGAAATGGGAAGTGGCCGTTTGTTCAGATGATTGTCTGCTGGTGGCTGTCAGAGCTGGTTTGACTGTATATGTATCTGAGTGTCCCACCCCAGCAGCCGTATAGGCCTACTTGTGTGTGTTGATTTGGGAGACAGGGAGAGAGAGGAGAAAGAATGTTCAACTGCTTAAATGCAAGTCAGAATGTGTCTATACATATCTTTTTGTGAATGTGTGTGTTTGTGTGCATGTGTTTGAAATATAGAGACGTAGGAGCCTACAGAGATAAAGAAGGAGAGGGAGAGAGAGGGAGAGACTCACTGTGCTTTGTATTCAAAAGAAAGAGAGAGAGACGAGAGAGAGAGAGCAGAGAGAGAGAGAGAGAGAGAGAGGGGGAGAGACTCTCTAGTGTGCTTTCTAATCAAAAGAAAAAGAGAGAGAGGAGAGAGAGAGAGAGACAGAGAGTGAGAGAGAGAGAGAGACACACACACACACACAGAGAGACACACACACACACAGAGAGACACAGAGAGAGAGAGAGCGAGAGAGAGAGAGAGAGAGAGAGACTCGCTCTGCATGTACTTGATACTGTGTCTCTGTGTAACATCCTGAAGGTGAGTGTCTTTATCGATCATAAAGTTTTGTATATTTTATACAAGGCTGCCTGGAAAGGGAAACTGTGGAAAGAAGAAGCGTGCTAAGCATCACTATCTAGTATTTGATTTCCCAGAACATAGTGCTTGCCCTTTTTATTTTTTGTCTGTTCAGCATTTAGGTTTTTCATTTGTTCACGGTTGGCGGGTGCTCCAATGTGGTTTGCTTCTTCTTTCCTATCAAACATCTATCGTCCTTATCTCCCCTTCTTCTTTTTTATGTTTGTTACTCTCTTGTAACACCTCTAATCT